TATAAATAATTTTAAAAATCCAAAGCTCTCTCCTCAACATTTGCTACAAAAATAAAACTCTATAAAGCATTTCCATCTTCAAAAATACCAGATGTAATAGATTCAAGGAATATGGATACACATACATGGACTGGAGAGAACACAATCTGAAAAGAATAATTAATAAAAAAACCAAAATCCAGAAAGCAGAAAAACACCACCAGATTTTTATTTCAAATGAGACATTTCAACAATTATAAACCATATCTGACAACAACTTTTTAGCACTAGTTTTGCTACCAATGAAATAGGGTTGCAAACACACTTCTTACTTTACAGGATTTTAAATTAAGATTTTATCAATCTTAGTGATAAAAGGAAAACCAAATTAAGAACTCAAGTAAGAATAAAATAAATGCAAAACAAAGCAAAAAAAAATCAGTTCTATTAAAGAAAAAGGACTTACAGCACTAAGAGACAGTGACAGTGTCTGCAGGATATCCAGCATAGTCTTCAGGACAGTTCCACTCCACAGCAAGTGAGGGAATCTAGAGCAAGGCAGAATTCAGAAACACAATAACCAGGGAGAGCTGAGGAGGGAAACTGTTTTATCAAGAAATGGAGCTACTTCATAGGAGTTGAGACTGAATTTATATCATGGGCCCTTCGCTCCACCCATGGGAATACTCAGCAGGCACCCATTTGAAGCAGGGATTTCAGAGTTCAGGCTAAAAATACTGTTGAATATTATTTTTCAAGATGTTTCAGCAGAAGTACCGGCCAAAAAACCCACCTGCCTGTGGTCACCAATGGCCTAAGGAATCACTAAGGAGCCTTTGTGAAAAAAGAACAGGAAAATAAAATCTACACCTACTTGTCCACCAGTCCAGATAAGTATTTGTCTGCAACTCTCCTGATCCTCTTGTGAATGTGGTTAAAATTCACCAGCAAGAACTGAGCATGTCTCTCCAGCTCTTCTTCGTTCTCCTTAGTTTTAGGCTAAAAGACATGCCAAAGAGAAGTATGAAGCTCTTAAGGGAAAAGAAAAACACACTTTCATAAACTGAAATGAGAACATTTATACAAAATCAACATTTTAGTCTCCATGCAACCTACTTTATCAGCCATCATTGACAGGAAAGCTTCAAACACCTTATCAGCAACAGCTATCACACACTGCATCATACCTGAGGAATTGAGAGAAGTGACAGGTTTGATTATTCAAATTACATTTGTTTTATAAACCATGCTTAGCAGTAAAAAAGTGTTTATGTTTACTCAGCCAGCACTGAACCTGTTTCAAAACAAAACCCGTGTTCTTGGCAAGGATAATGCAACAGCAATTTACTCAACATGATTCACTTTGTTATTAAGCTGCTTGATTTGTTTCTGTCTTACAGGCCTGGAGATAAATTCCTGGTATCTTAAGTTGCAAGAAAACCTGGACAGGTAAATCTTACCAGATTTGTCTTTCTGAATTGCTTTATCTTCAAAGTAGCAAAACATGACTTGGAAGCGATCCTGGTCAGTCGAACGCAACACCCTGGGGAAGGAAGAGCTGGGTGAGTTGAGGGGTTTGGGGGTTTGTTTGGTTTATGTTTTGTGTAAAGGGTTTTTTTGCTTTTTCCTTTTCAACATTTTCAACAGGAATCTATGTACTTTAGTGCTACACCTCACCTACAATCACTGCTCATGTCATGATAATGTTCAGTCTCTAGCAAGGCTGATACTCCTGTTTGTTTCTACATCTGACTAACAGGGCTCAGGCCATAAACCACCACTTTCCTTGCTGCTAGACCTCCAGCTCAGCTTTCAGCTACGCATTCCTTTGAGCAGCAACAATAAATAGACTTTTGAAGGGAAAACACAGAGTTTGTGAATTCAATATCTTTGATCAGTCCACCCAACATGCACTACTGAAGGGGAAAAAGGGCACCACAAAAAGTTTCTCAGCTCCTACATTACATTAACCTCCTAGAATAGGCACTGTCCTTCAGGGGTGCAGCACAGGACTGTGCAGAGGATACATCACACTCACAGAACCCTTTTGTGCATTTCCTATTTGTTCTTATACAGAGGAGATCCCATTTTTTCAGGCCTTACTGTATTATTCCATTTGGCAATTCTGCAATTCCCAGGCTCAGAATCTTCAGGAGAGCTCATGTGGCTCAAAACACTGAGTGTCTGGCAATTCTGACTTGAACATACATGGCTTTTAATTTTTTTTAACCCATCAGTGGAAAGAAGTTTATGTCCATCTTTACCTCATGTACTCCAGGCGGTAAACGGAGAGGAGATAGGTGGACATGGCAAAGTCCAGCTTATTGATCAGCGCTGACACCTCCGGGGGAGGATCCAAGAGATTGATGATGGTGCTCCGTAATTCATTTAACTCAGCCTAGAGATGAACACATGGAGTGTCTCGAGTGGGAGCCCTGCATTAGTCTGTTCTCAAGCACACGCATTCAGCTACTGCTCCGTTCACTTCTTAACCTTTGCAGACAGCAGGGCTGAACCTGCTGTCTGCAGATCCAGAACAAGCTGCCCTGTGTTGTTTGCTTTTAAACTTAGTTGATTCTTTTCTTAAAGAGTGCAAGTTTTGTCTGATACAAAGTGGATGAAAAAGCACTAACAGGCTTCCATCTCCACAAAGTCTTGGTTTCTACACCTAACCAAGACGGTGTAGCTACACCACCCTAAACACGTGCATTAACCCCAAGCCACTTTTGTACTCTGCTGTCAGAGGGTAGTGTAAAAAAGCTGCTTTTCACCAATAGGAGGCAGGTTGAAGGGGTGTTGTGCTATTTCAATATATCACAGGCACCATGTCAGTTAACACTGGCAGACACTATGGAAGGAGGTAATAGCAGAAATCAATGCCTACAGGAGTCACAGTGTCATTCTTCATGGCAGAGTTGTACTGAAGGACAGACCGCAGTGGTTCTTTGCTGGGAAATGTCAGCAATGGAGACTTGGTGGCAATTTCACATACACCTTCATACCATTCCTCTGGCCAAAGACCTGGAGCAGAAGGAGAAAGAGGAAGGTGGGGTGAGGGAGGAAAAAAAAAGAAGTTTCACAAAGTTCCCAGTGTTACCCAGCTCGGCACTACTTCCTAGGGCCAATTTTTCACGCACTTGAGCATGAACAGTCAATACATGTGATCCACGTTCCAAACTTAACAAGCATGTTTAGGTTATTCCAAGTGACGTTTCTCACTGGAAAAGAAGTTTCTGTTGAGTACCAATGAAACCCATGTGGTCTGATCTTCCATTTCAGGAACTTTGCTATCAAAACTCATACTTAACTAAGGTTATTAACTTAGCAATAAAACTAAGACAAGTTGTACTGTGCTGAACTTCATGGCAAACCAGCAAGGATGTCAAGAAACCCTACCAGAGAACTCTCCCAGAAGCTGTTTGCCTTGCAGTGCCTTTATGCCTGTGGTTTTCCTTCCATCTACTACGAATGGTTTGCATCCAGGGGTATTTACATCCATCAGGAGTTTAAAGGTGAGCAGCAATGTTGTTCTCTTAAAAATCACAGTACCTGATCCTTCCACAGCAAATCCCATCAGCACTGAATACAGCCAGAAGTCACGGAACAGCTTCTGCAACCTGGGCTTGGCCTCCTTGATGGGTGGCAAACGTCTGGTGAGCTACCAAAGAAATAAAATTTAACGTCAGAGAATGGTGGGAGTTACAGTAACTTCATTCCATGCTCAGGAATCAATTCATGCCCCTTCTTTACTATGATTTACAAAGGTAACATTCTTTATCACCCCTGAAAACTAGTATTACATAGCTGTTGTTACGCTGAAGAAAACAAGTTCTTGTTAGAGGTCTGAAAGGGCAACTTCTGAGATGCCTGAAATAAGAATTTCCTTTGTCCTACACAGGAATAACACCATGCTGATCCAGTAACCTCTGCAGAGAATACAGAACATCAGTACACTGTCAACTGCAGGGAGGAGAGACCACACGGGCCTTTAAAGTGTGCTGAAGACAATGCCATGCAGCTTGGCCTCAGTGTAAAGGAACTCCAAAGCAAATAAATATGAGTCAGACACACTTCTGGTTGCTATTGTTTATGAGCCTTGTGGAAATACATTGAGGCACCAATTGGGGACCTTTCATTGTTTGCACCCACGCACAGAATGACATCAGTTCTGAAGAATTTACTATCTAAACAAGCAAGGAAAAGAGCATTATTTTCAACACATTTATTAAAATTCTCCAATACTTTCTGCACGAACAGCTGCTACCATCAGAGGAGCAGTTTATCCTCCCAGGCAACATGATATGCAGTTTTAGACAAATTTATATAAAAAAGATCACAGTGCGTTATCCTGAAAAGAGTTAGAGGCACAGGCAAGTGTATAAAAAGTGACAGAAATTGTCCATTAAACTGCAAGCTTCATTCAATATGACTGTATATTATTACTCTAAACTTTATTATGAAAATGTTACATTCTAACCTAGCTCGAAGAAACATTCTCTAACTCCAACAATTCCCTGGAGGGATGAAATCCAGCAGTATTTCTCTGAAATCTCACATAAAGCCAACTGTGGATGTATTTATAAATCATGAGGGAGATTGTTCATTTAAAAAAAAAAAAAGAAAGAAAAAAAAAAATTCCTCTATTACAGTCAAATTAATCTGAATTTAGGCTGGTGAAGAAGTTGCTTGTGCGAGGGAAATGCTTGCACCAATGCAACACTGGATGAAGAATCCCAACCATCACAGAGACCTCAAACTTATCTGCAGTCAGATGCTCCCCCACTCCCATTTCAGCACAAAACAGCAGCAACGGGGCTTTTACTGTCATTAACAGTCAAGTTTATGTGTGTGCTTGACTTTGAAACCTCACACACACCCCAGTTTTTGCTCTAAGACCTTCCTCAAACGTGAACAAGTACCTGCAAAGCCATAAAAGCAGCTCAACAAACAGCAGAGAATTCAGCAGAGATCACCAGGCAAGGGAGGGATTTTGGCTGACGAAGTAACTTTAGCAGTGTTTGGTTTAGAGAATGTTTACTTTGGGAGATACACAAAAAAGCAGCGTCAAAGTTCAGATTTAAACCCTGCTGTTCCCCTTGCTTGGGCTTTTCAACACATCCTTCCCATACAGTGGCTTGAAGGTAAGCTCCATTTACCTCTCCTGGTATTCTGGGTGGCTCTGACCGAAGGCATTTCCACTGCAGGGAGGGGGAAGGTTTTGCCTGTGTAAATGCAGCTGAGCAGTGACTGAGCTTTGGGGAGGACGAGAACGCAAAGCCGGGAATACACAAAGCAAATTCTGCTGTGCCAAGAGCAGAAAATGTTATCAGTGCTTACTGGCCAGAGGATCTATCTCAGCCCTCAGGGCCTGACTTCTGGGGGCGGGGAAAGAGTAATGGATTTATGAAGAATCAATAAGGAAAAGACTTGAGACGCTCAGCCAGAGTCTGAAACAATTGCAGAAGCTTCTTCTGTGGATCCTTCAGTCTTGCAAAACAATCACCTTGAATGGTTTTAGGATTTCAGGCAAATTAGTTTGGGGGGAGAGTTTCAAAAAGTCAAACTGTCAGCTCAGTTATGTCAGTCCTGCTACAACATGTTTGAAAATATTTTCCTTCAAACACTGTTTTTATTCACTGATGTGCAGCTCAGTGACCAGGTACAGGTATGTACACCTACATATTTTACTTCTACAGCACAGCTCTTTGGACTATTTGCTAATTTAAAAAGCATTTTAATCAACACCTTAGTAAGATTTTTGTTTTAACTGTATTGTTTTGTCCTGTATTGTTTTGTAAATAATTGTCTTTTTACACAAAAAAGTACTACCAATAGAATTTCACTTACATTAGAATTACACTTTTTTGCATCTTTTTGAGATCACTGTAATTACTGCACCCAATATTGTGGTGAAAAGTTTCTTATACCCATTTCTTGGCACAGTGTTTTACAGCTGAGCAGGACTGATGGATTCTCTTCAAACAATACATACCTAAGATAAATCCTGATTTTAAGGGCAATTTAAAAATGCAACTGCCCAATACTCAGGAGATGGGCAGACTGATTAACTTTGTGCCTTAGGAAAATGCAGGTTCTATTTAAAAGTTCTATTTAAAAAAAAAACAAACAAAGCAGGTAGGGTTAGAAATCTTGAACACTTCAGCCAAGAGATCCAAAGCTCTGAACAGGAGCTCACATAACAGAGCACTTCAAGTTCTGCAGTGCTGCACAAACCAAAGTGAAACAAAACAGAACTAACCAAAGAGCAGAATCAAGACAATGGGTGAGGAAAGCAGCAGATGAGCACACTGAGCTGCAGGAAGGGGGCACACATTGAATAACAGCCCAGTGAGACCCTGAGCAGGCCAGGACACACATTCATGCCCAGCACCCCCCCCCAGTGCAGTCCCACCGATGGTATTTAGTGCAAATACCCCTCTTTCTACATCCCTAAATCTCCTTTATTCCGTCAGATTTCAGCCTTGCTCTTCCAAAACACTCCCACAAAACTCCCATTTTTGTTGTAGCTACAGGGTATCTGTTTTTCACATTTTTCAGTACATCTCAGCATTCTGGTATGCTCCTGTGGGGGACTGGGACAGCAGTTCCTCCTCCTCCGACCAAGCTCCAATCTTCAAACTTACCTTTCTATCATATTTTCAGCACACACTCATAACACAGTTAGTGCACATTTTAAGTGCAATAGGTTTATAAATAAAGAGTCCCATATATTTTAAATAATGAGTTTGTCACTGCTGAAATTCGCCAGGAATGACAAGTTGTATGGGAGGAGGTCAACCAATTCCTTGGCAGGCTGGAGGCATTATGTAAGCAAAACCAATTACCAGCAAAACAGAGTTAGCCATCTAATTAAGATCTGTTCCAATTTTAAAAAATGCTGTTGAATAAGGTAACTACAGCCCTTCTGCTGTGACAGAATTCAGCATGGACCTAAAATTAGGGAATAGATAACTACGATAACTAAAATTCAACCACCCTCTGCTCTCTCAACTGTGTTGTCTTCCAGGTTTTCACCTGTCAGAATGAAGTTCCTACTTCAACTGCTCATGCTTGCTCTCCTCACAACCTCCACATTTGGTGGGATCAAGGACTTTGCAGAGCATTTTGAAAGCCTTAAAGGTGCACAGCCACTTGAAAACGGGACTTACGACATGGCAGACCTACCCCTGGAGTTCCACAGAGAGAACACCATCACCAATGACCTGATCCCCGAGGAGGAGGAGGAAGACGACTACCTAGACCTCGACAAGATCCTGAGTGAAGATGACTACAGTGATGTTATCGACGCTGGCCCATACATGGTTTCTGAAGTTCAGCAGGGAAATATTCTGGAGTTATTCCAAGGCAAAACCAGAATCCAGCGCCTCAATATCCTCAACGCAAACTTTGGCTTCAACCTTTACCGCAGCGTGGCAGACAAGGCCAACGCTTCAGACAACATTATCATGGCTCCCGTGGGCATTTCCACTGCCATGGCTATGATCTCCCTGGGTCTGAAGGCTCAGACTCAGCAGGAGGTGTTATCTGTCCTCGGCTTTCAGGAGTTCATTAACGCCAGCACCAAATACGAGCTCATGACTGTCCACAATCTGTTCCGCAAACTCACCCACCGGCTCTTCCGACGCAACTTCGGTTACACGCTGAGGTCTGTCAATGACATTTACATTCAGAAGGACTTTTCTATTCTGAATGACTTCAGAAACAATATGAAAACATACTACTTTGCTGATGCCCAACCAGCTGATTTCTCAGACCCCAACTTCATCACCAAAACCAACGAGCGCATCCTGAAGCTGACCAAAGGGTTAATAAAGGAAGCTCTCGTGAGCGTAAGCCCTGCAACACTGATGATGATTCTCAACTGTATTTACTTTAAAGGTAAGAATCCGTTTTTATAATCTTAGTGATGGATTTTCTCAATTCTCTGCATATGCCATTAGAAATCCCAGACTGAAGTCTAGCCTACACAGTCAAAAACCTACTGACTCTCTCATTAAGAAGAATCTCTATTATTAGCCCATTTCTGCATGTTTCTGTAGCTCACTGCTATTCCAGTCATGCTCTGCAGTTCATGGGTACTGCACACACAGAGCAAATGCTTATTCCATACAAAACCTTCGAAACTCACAGCGAGACTGAAAAACAACACATGGATCCAAAATAGCCCCAGGAAGGATCAGCTTCGTAGGAATCTCAGATGGGAAGGGATTAATGCACGTGCCAGGTACTTGTGCCATTCAGCCCTGGCTTCATTGAAATGGTACAGGTTGATTTCAGTCAAAGCACTTAACATTTCTGAGGTTTTCAGGATTAATGGGAATGACTACAAAGAATTTCAGCTCAAAGTATGTATTTTATTTTTTTTAATATATGATCAGAGAATGGTCCTTGTGAAGAAGGGACTGAAGAGAATAATTAAAACAGTATTCTTCTACCACTAAAACCAAACACATTCACTACTGGGAATATTTCAGTTAATTCAGCAAGAAGTGTCTGCTGATATGGGTCCTACATGTATCACTACAGGCTGAGCAATTAAAAGAGGCTGGAGTAAAGACTGTACAATATATTCTTATTATAAATTCTTATTTTCAATTTCTTTACATTTAAAGTAAGAGCCTGTGGTGAGATTTGCAACATTAGTTATCTGTCTCAGGTTGAAAGTTTGTTAAGTTTTCAACAAACCTTTAAAATTACATTAAATGCCTCATTTGAAGAGTTGGGAGGTGCCAATGAAAGGGGAACTGAGGATAAAAAAGAAATCTGTTACTGACTGTTTAGGATGAAAAGCAGTTGACTTTAAACACAAGAAAGGCAGAGTAGCCCAAAAGGATAACAACATCTGCAAACACCTCTTTTCCATAACTCATAAAGGAGTGTATTTTCCCCCCAGTATGTTCCTGCTTTCAGGAAGCAAATGCTCAAGGGCTGCCTTACACCTGCCATCTCAGCAGGTTCAAGGAGCAGCAAGTTTATGAAATGTGCCTTTTCCCCCTCACTTGCAGGCACTACTTCCTTCAATAATGCCACTTATCTCCTTAAGAGATCTGAAACCATCATTAGCATAAGATCCAAATAATCTCCTGCTCTCAGGTGCCATCCAAAAGGCACTTAACTTGTATCCTTAACTACATCTCTGATGATCACACCAGACTAAAGACATGGCTTTACTGTCCATTAGACCATCCTAAGAAAAGGATTATGCAAAGTGAACCAGACACATTTTTTCCCCCATAATTTGGTCAAATTTGAAATACCTTTTTGTCTCACACTGAAATTATTAAACACTTGTGCTACCCCAAAGCAACAAAAAACACCACCAAAAAACAAACAGCTGTAGTACTGGAACTCTTGAGTCATCAAGATCAAACAGATTTTTGGCTTTTTCTTCTGCTTGTGGACTCAGGTTAATTCAAACTGCCTCTGTCCATCTGCTGAAGGCTGTAATTTCTACCCCTCAAAACAAAAAGATCAATTCTCTATTTCTGCCTCCCACTCTTTTGTCTCTCAGTCTCCTGGGATTTCCATTTTGAGGGGAACTGAAGCAAGTTCCGCTCCAGGGTTTCCCGGTTTCCCCACTATTCCTGCAAGACATTCCAGCTTTGTCCACGTCTTTCCACTTGCAGCATTCACGCTGTTTGTAGCATTGCAGACAAGCTCTGTTAAGCCCTCACAGCTGAGGAACCTGTGAGTGTTCTCAGATACACAGAGATGCTCAGTACCAGCGATGCTGAGCAAAGGGATATTTGCCAAACACAGCTCGAGGTCTCGAGCTCTTTTTATATCAAACACCATCAAGAACCTATTAGCAGTTCTGCTCCCTGAAGAACAGCCGGATCTTGGGTTTTCCCACTGAGAAGTGGGAAAATGGGTTTGGGAATGGCATAATACATTTCATACCCCATTCCCTTCAGAGTATCAACCACAGTCTCCTCACTTCTCAAATTGATCCCCATCAGCCTGACATATCAAAAAACCATTAGAATGAAATTGAACTTAAGGCTTTTTTTTAATTTTACTTCACAGTCAATTTGGCAAAGTCAGATTAAGGGACTCAGAATGACTTGCACTGATTCAGGTTAAATTTGTAGTCTCTCCACACAGATCCAACCCCATTCTCCACATACTTGCTTGCCTATAATGACTTAAAATGCAGAGTTTTAACAGGAAATACCAGTAGCCCTATTTCCACTATCATCTTCTAGCTCTGCCTATCATCTGCCTATTAAGAAAGAAATAATGTTTATTCCAGAGCCATGGCTCTAAAAAGAGGACAATAGAACACTGCTTTAAAAAAAGGACCTTCTTTCAAACAGTCAGTAAATATCTGGGGTATCCAAAGCCCCTTTACATTAAAAGACTCAAACCACGACAGCAAAGCTTTCTGGGCTGCAAAATGTGTTGAACTGCATTATTTGGGCATCCACCTGTCAGACTGCAGCACGTCTACAGGAGTGTGTTATCACATCCAGCTGGGTCATAGAGCTGAGCACTCAACACCCCAACTCTCCAGGTTCTGTTAAGAGAGAGAACAACTTGGCTTGACTGGACTAAGTGAAGGAAATGCCTTCAGCACAGCAACTTTTCAAACATTATGCACAACTAAAGCAGCCATTGCTTAGCTTGATCCACTGCTAACGTGCTCGAAACAGGTGCCTTCAGTACTGGATTCGAGCACCAGAGCTCAGAAAATACACCTGGGTCAGCTGTTCTGCAGGGGGCAGACCCTGGCAAGATACAACAATTTTGCATCTGTTTAAGGGTTTTAATTTCTGGATTCCTCACAGAGAGAAATAATACACACCCACCTCCTTCAGTTCTCCAGTTGGTGTTTACCTGCTTTTACAATTCAGAGCACTCAATCAGACCAGTGCTAATTTAGGAAGCCAGGAGTTCTGAGGTCCCTTTAAAACTCCTCCTCTAATTCAGGCTTAACTGAAAACAACGATCTCCTACCCTAATTTCCAGTTCTTAAAGCTGAATGGGAACTGTTATTCTGGGAATATTTTATCACACAAGGATCTTGGGGTTTTATTTGTGTTCCTCATTGTCCTGACAGGAACTTGGGAGAATAAATTCCCCGTGGAGATGACTGTGAAGAGGAGCTTCCGCCTGAACGAGAAGCAGACAATAAAGGTGCCCATGATGCAGACCAAGGGGAACTTCCTGGCTGCTGCAGACCCCGAGCTGGACTGTGGGGTGATCCAGCTGCCCTTCGTGGGGAACATCAGCATGCTCATCGTGCTGCCTCACAAACTGTCCGGCATGAAAGCTCTGGAGAAGCAGATAACACCCCAGGTGGTAGAGAAATGGCAGAAGAGCATGACAAACAGGTACCTGCTGAAAAGCACACCTTGTTAAAAGTCTTAATGTGTTTTCTTGATGAGACTGACAAAGGGTAAGTAAAGCACATAGAAGATAATATAATATATATTTTGATTAAAAATATTAAACAATCCCTCCCCCTAATGGATTTGCTGAATTAAAAATCAGGACCGGTGAGCTCTCAACATTTAAATGCCGTCACGAAATCAAGGATTATGGAGGTGGAAAATTCTAATGGCGGTTTCAAAATTCTTTCTATTGAGTATTTAATGGCGAAGGTTTAAAGAAAAACTTTTTACTGATGAAGTTTACAATTAGGAGGAAAAATAGGAGTATGAAGATAACAGGTTACTGGTGCAGAATAATCTGGCTCCCAGAAAAAGCAGCCCACGTGCAGTTCAGCACTGAGCATTCCAACAGAGCTGGGTGTAAAGGTACATACTCCATCAACAACGGACATCAAACTATGACAGAGGAAAAATCATACAGCCTGCCTTGTGCAAGATAACAGATTAGGTGTATCTGCCTTCAGACTTGATAAAAAGAGGTGATTTGACATCTTATTCAGGATTTCAACCTGTTTACATCGTACACAATAAGTGACAAATCTGCAGTTTAGTACTGCAGAAAATCTGACAGCTCCACATTCACTACAAGCACATCCACCCATGCACTGAACTGCTCAAAGCCACGTCTCTGACACACATTAATAATGCAAATCATCATAAGTGAAATATCAGATTGATAAACTGACAGTTTTGGGAGGGGAATTAATTGTTTTAAGCAGTTTAAGTCACGATGCTCAAGTTTTGAAAGCAAAAGTAGAGAGTAAACAGTCCTGTATATTTGTGTCCTGCTTGCTGAAGACAGCAAAAAATCCAAACCACAGGAGATGTGTAAAGCAAAAAGAGTCGTGCAAATATGTATCTGTCAATGATTTTTCCTTTCTGTGTTTATTGTTACTAGAACAAGAGAAGTGGTTCTGCCTAAATTTAAGCTGGAGAGGAGTTATGGCCTGATTGGTTACCTGAGATCCATGGGAATAGAAGAACTGTTCAATGGAAAAGGCGACTACTCTGGGATATCAGATGAGAAGATCGCCATTGACAGGGTATTTACTGCTCTTCTCATTTCCTTTCTGATTAAACTGTATCACCTGGTAACATGGCAACATCATAACAATATTGCACAATAAGCTAAAACAGTATTTTTTATCACCTTTCCAGAGGACACAGGAGGGATGGGGGTATCTCTGAACATCCCTGTCTATTCGTGCAATGAGGAGCATGTTTAATCAGATCTCAAAGGCAGGAGATTGTTGTGGTCAGTCAGGAACGGGCTTATCCACAAGACAACCCCCCAAGGATTGCTGCTGTGTAGGTGTTACTAGCAGGAGTGGGAGCCACGTGTGGGACATGGATGGGGGGAAGGCTGTGAGCACATCATCTGAGTGTACTCAGGAGAGCCTCAACTTCTCTTCTGCTTGTTTGTTTGTTTGTTGGAACAGTTCAGTCACCAAGGCACAATCACAGTGAACGAGGAGGGCACAGAGGCTGCAGCTGTGACCACCGTGGGGTTCATGCCTCTCTCCACCCAGATCCGTTTCGTTGTCGACCGCCCCTTCTTGTTCCTCATCTACGAGCACCGGACCAGTTGCCTTCTGTTCATGGGCAGAGTTGCCAACCCAGCCCAGTCTTAAAGCAGAGAAGGCCTCCAACACCCCCTTATCCACGGGCTGGATGGTCCCACCTTCATATACCAGTATCATAAAGGAAAATTTATCGTCGTAGTAGCTCATACAAAAGCCACTGGTATCAAAAGAAAATATATTATCTGCAGGTAGTTTCACATGAAGGGACTCAGGGCAGTAGGTAATTTGACTGCAATTTGAAGTGGTTAGTGCCATGTATTGATACAAGTGTATTACTAGGAAAAAAGAAAATCACAAAGTAACTTACACTTTGTGTTCTGCATCAGTGTATAAAATGTAATCAATAAAATATTTAGACTATCTGGATTCTTGAAATTTAGCTCTAAATTTATGCCAGGATGTCTGTTTATAATAAACAGGATTAAGGAAATCCTGAATACATGACCAGTCCTAGGATCATAAGCCTCTCCTGGGCATTTTACACAATCTAACTTACAAACGACCAGATGTGTCCACTCTTTCTTTCACTTGCATCATTTAACATCCAGTGAAAACACCCAATGTACATCAACATCCAGGCTGACACACAGTGAACCTTAAGGACCAGGGTACCAAATAAGGGGAGACAGAAATGCCCTGGAGGAATGAAACACTGATGGATCCACTGCTTTCCCCCAACTTGCATCGTTTCAATACATTCTCTGATCTTCACTGGCACGAGTGGTATTGGAATTAGGCCAACCAGGTAAGTGATACAAATATCCTCAGAATACCCTGCTTAGGAAAAGCAGTTCAGCAAAATGCTCTTCTCACTGGCTCAGCATCCCCTAACCCTCTCTGCAAAAAAGAGCCATTTACAGCACTCACATTTGCTAAGAATTCAGATGCACTCTCCATTGTGGATTCAGTGGGCAAAACCCTTCCAGTCACTGCAAACTTTGGGAATCATTGCATCTACTACAATCCTTTGCTCCACACAGGAAGTTTTTTAGGATGTTAGCCAGTAAAACACTGGTATTAGATAATGAGCTGATACTGAATAGGAAGTTCAAATGTTTCCCTTCCTTCCTTCCTTCCTGTGTTTTAAGTCCACCATGTGGGGGATAATTTTCAGTATTGAAGGTGCAGAACAGAAATCATTAACATACATAGGCACATTTTACTGTTTTATCTGCATTCAAAAAGGAAAGCATATTAACAAATAGAAAAGCATATTCAAAAGATTAAATATTCATGCCTCAGACTGGATTAGTTTATCAATGATTGAATGAGTGGGAGCATCTGAAATACAAGTATTTTGGGGACCTAAGTAACAGGAATTATTCAAGGCAAAGAGGTCAAGCAGAAAAGCAAATCAGCTACTGCTCAAAACCCATGATCTTCATACATTGTGCAAGAAAGTCAAATATTTGCTTCAACAACCATAATGTAACCATTAACTCTTGCTTCAGGTTCTGGCAGTACCTGACTCCATTTAAAGGTCACATTGGTTAAGAAAAATGCAGTTATCACCAGCTATTCAGAACAAATATATCATCAATAAAATCTGAAACAGAAAAGTACCTCCGTAACTGTTACATTAAGTCTCTAACAAGCATTAATGTTTTCTCAATATGTGAGGAATGGTCCTGTTTTCACTCAAATCTGCATCACTGACAGCTGGGAAATGCTACCCACCAGAACATGTCTGAACACAGGGCCAGCTCAGAACTGAGCAGCTATTGACCAACAGACATTTATAACCACATTTCTGTAAATCAAATCTCTGATCACAAAGGAACTTGTGATCACTGCTGACCTTGGGAGGAGCTTCTGCTGGAAACCGGTGAGAAGAGACAGGGGAAGGAAAGGAACAGCCCTTTGATCTTTAACCACGTGCCAATTTTAGGCCCTTCTCTCTGACAAGATTCAGTCAAGAGGTTTGAGGGCAGGGTATGAAATGAATTATTTTTAATCTGCTTGTTAATGATGTGCAGTGTGAGCAAGTTCCAAGCAGGCATTCCTACTGCAAATATGGAATACATCTTCCCCTTTTGTCCCCCCAGCTGTGCAGGGAAAGTTCCACAGAATACTTCAGTTTCAGAAGGGGAAAAGGCAGCACGATGCCTTTTGTCCTTCACCAAGTTTAGGTTTGTCTGTGGATCTTTTAGACATGATTGTTTTGCTAAAAGCACAGCAGTGAGGCAAACAGTCCTACTGACCTGGAAACACACACTGGGTGTATCAAATTTTCTGTTGGAGATCTAGCATGGATGCACAGCAATTTTTTTCCCTCAGTAAGTTGTTACACTTTGTTTAAAAAAGTTTTTCCTCCAGAAAAACTGCTGTCAAACTAAGATTTACTTTTAACTCTGTTTCTATCAACTTTCGTTTTTCACTTCTCCTCAGAGCACAGATATGTGCTGGTTATTAAATTGCAGGCAAACACTATTCAAAGTAACATTCCCTGTGGTATTATTTAGCTCATGAATCTCTTGAACTCATAGCTTGAAACAATCTAACCCTGAATCACAAAAGCTTAATTATTTTTAAGAGATAAATGTGAGAAAAATGATCCTATTTGCAACAACCATTGGCTACTCACCACAGCAATGACAGGGATAAGCACACCCAGATTGCCTGCACTGCTGGAGGCCTGGAAAAGAAAAAGGAAATTATCAAAACATCTACAAAAGCATTTCTGAAATACTTGCTATCAGATGTATTCCCAGCATCAAACATCAAACACTGCCAGTTCCAGCTCTGCACTCTGCAAAGGGCTGGGCATGAGGGGGCCAAGAGAGACCCCACAAAATCCTCAGGACTGGGCACACCCTGCATGTTTTAACAAAGCTTTGCAGGTGGGTCCTCATGGGCTCTTGAAGGGTTGTCAGTGTTTGGAAGTTCAGATATTGTGGTTTGAGCTAAAGACAGAAGTTTTCACTGATGCCATGTCTGCTCTCACATCCAGTAAGTGCTAGAACGTTCACATTAAATGAGTGGCCACAAACAAGTGTCAAATGTTTACTAAAAGTCTCATTTTACTATCAAAATGTAGCCAAAAATAAAAAGTCTGTAAAAAGACACCATTTTCAAGAATTTATTTAGGCAGGAGGAGCAGCTTTTTCTACTGAAATATAAGAAGAATGAGGGAAATATGTATTTCCTTTGAACAAACCAAAAGGAAACAATAAAAAAAAAATAAAATAAGAAGAGAGGAGAGGGAGAAGCAAAGCCAAATTTTCTTCAGATGAAACAATAATGACATAACCCAACTAAAACACACTTTAGTTATCTTTCCTGGAGAGTCAAGAAAAAGCAAAGCAAGAGATGAGTCTGAAAATATTTTTGAAGGAAATGAAATAACAGCACTCAAGACTCTCTAAGGGGTAACAACAACTAGGAAAAGTCACTTATTAGCACTTTTGTTACAAAAAATGGAATGTCAGCCTCTTTATGATAATATATGGCACTGAGGATGAAGAAGATGCAATGACTTCCATCCCTGGGCACACTCAGAGGACATTAGTGACAACTATCAGCAAAGAAAAAAAATGCTAGTTTTCTTCCCCTCACAGAAGCCACTTCTGCAGGTTTGAAGAGAGAACAAATAAGTCCCTGGAGCATTTTAACAGTTATGGAGCAAACTGAAGTCTGCTGAGAAACAGAGACGCAGGCAAAGTGCCAAAGGCAAAAGTGCTTTGGCTGGGGAGCAGCGTGGGCAGTGCTCGGCCCACTTCATCTCCTCCTGAAAATGAAGCATCCCAGGCTCCAGAATGCCTTTGGTGAGTTTAACTCTGCACTGAGTGCTGTTCTCCAGTGAGAGCTGCTGTCATACCCTCACATGAACAAACAGTGCCTCCTAGCTCACTCCATCTCACATCTATCCCACACTGCTCCCTTTGCAGGCAGCTCTCAGCTGGTGCAGCCGTTTGCCTCCCACAGTAATTCCAACACTGAAAACAGTGGAAAAACATCCCAGAAAGGAGGAGAGTGGAAACTAATCTATAAGTGTCATTTTAGAGCTATGTTTGCAATACGTTTTACACAATTTCAGCTCATCTGTGGTTAAAAGAATCCATGAAACCCACAGAGAGGAATTTTCTACCACAGACTTCATGAAAAGCTGATTCTAGACATGTCCTAGTTCCCTTTTAAGAGAAGGGTTGGCATCCCTGATTAAATGCAGTCTGTCTTCAAGGCAAACAGACTCATTTCAGAGGGATTTACCATCCATAAAAAATTTAATACTATTTAAATGCAGCATGCCCAGGAGATGGGAAAAAGAAAAAGGCTGAAAAGAAAAAAACCCACAAAGTTCCCCTCACTGCTAGGAAAGCATGGCTATTGCAAAAGAAGTGCGACCTCTCTGCCCTAAAAAGGAGGGAACAGCTCTCAAATTGCACCTCTGAGACAGCCTCAACTCTCCACATGCACACATTTGAATTATTAAAATAGTCTCTTTTCTATATAAAATCACTGTCAAACACTGAGTTTTTATAAGTCACGCACAGCTGCACAGAACCGAAAACCAGTGCATTTCTGACCTTCAGTGCCGGTCCTTTCTCACTTGCTCTCTCACTGGCTCTCTTTCCTTCCAGCCCAAGCTGAACAAACAGCTCCAGCAAGTTCATCAGCAGCTCATCCACCAGGTGCTCTCCCTGGATGTTGGCAGCGATGTTGGCCAGGGCGTTGATGACGGCCAAGGAGCAGTGCCTGAGGACAAAGGACAGTCAGCAACAAGCAATCCCTCAGAGTTTAATATCCTCAGTGCTTTCTTCATAGCACTGACAGTGACTCTTGGGATAAGGCTGCTGACATGTTTTCGCTCAGGTTTTTTTCAGGGGGTTGTTTTATGTTTTTATGGACAGCACAGCACTGATAAT